TAAAATTAATTTTGTGTTAGCATTTTTGTTAGTAATATTGACTAAGAAGAGATATATGGCGGTCAACATCCAATTTAAAAAAATTTGAAATTTTTTGCTAATAAATGATATTTACCTAAACCCAAGTATACCCGCCTCCGACGATGCTCTGTCTGAGGAATGATTCCTGCATCTGAGCGATGCTCCCTCTAGGAACGATTCACGCCTCCCGACTCCGGACAAGGCTCAAAAACCTCTTACGATAGATGCTCCCTCTCGGGAATGCTTCCCTCCTCTGAGCGATGCTCCATATAGGGAATGCTTCTCGCCTCCGAGCGAGGTTCCCTCCAGGGAATGCTTCGTCGCCTTCGAGCGATTCTCCCTCAGGGAATGATTTACGCCTTTCGCTTCTGAGCAATGCTCCCTCTGAGGAATGCTTCCACTTCTGAGCTATGTTCCCTCTAGGGAACGATTCATGCCTCCCGCCTCCAGACTAGGCTTGAAGAGGAACACTTATCACCTCCGGGCGTTGCTCAAATACATATCTATGGCCTCCGGGTTAGGCTTGAAGACGGAGCGCCTCCCATGAGGTTTGAAGACGAGTGCCTCCCAACATGAAAACAAGATGAAACGCCTCCCAAAAACAAGACGGGGCGTCTATCAGTAGGTTGGATGACGGAGTACCTTCAACAGAAGAACAATATGAAGCGCCTCCCAATAACAAGACGGAGCGTCTCTCAGCAGGCTAGAAGACGAAGCGCCTCTCTTGAGGCTAGAGATGGAGTGCCTCCCATCAGGCTGGAAGGCGGAGCGCCTCTCATAGGATGAAAGAAAAGCACTTCCCAGAAAGAAAAAATCATTAAACGTTTCCCAGGAAGCCGAAAGACTAATGCACTTCCCAGGAAGCCGAAGACTAATGTGCTTCCCATGATGCCAAAGACTAAATCGCTTTCCAGGAAGTCGAAGACCAAAGCGCTTCCCAGAAAGCCGAAAGACTAAATGCTACCCAGGAAGCCAAAGACCAAAGCGCTTCCCAGAAAGTCGAAAGTCTAATACGTTTCCCAGAAGCCGAAGACTAAAGCACTTCCTAGAAAGCCAAAATACTTGAGTGTTTCCCAGGAAGCCGAAAGACTAATGCGCTTCCCAAGAATCCGACGACTAAAGCGCTTCCCTAGTTACCGAACGACTAACACGCTTCTCAAAAAATGCCTCCCAAAGGTCTGGAAGACAGAATACCTCTCGGTAGGCTAAAAGAAAGAACGTCTGCCCGCAGGCAGAAAGACGGAATAGCCCCAGTAGGCTAGAAGATGGAACGGCTGCTAGTAGGGGCAACATCGGCAAGAAGGAAACACCTGATCCCGCCTCAAACAGACAGGACATTGGCAAGACACATGAGCTCCCGACACACGTGGATGTGACGTTGGTAAGACATAAGAGCGCCTTGAGTTAAAACTCTCAAGTCGTGGGGCCCACCCTACCTAGCACGCAGTTATGGCCTACTAGCGCTAACAACAATGGACTAGCAAATGAAATCTTAATCACTTGAGTGTTTGAATTCAAGACATAAAAAGATAAGCAAGAGGCAAAACACATCATCATTTAGACTCGCAAGGCAAATTAATACACATTAACGCATTTTGTTACTCCTTCCATTTTTACAGAATATAAGAAGCAAAGGGGCAATTGTTGGGTGTGGTAGTAACTCACCTAATATGACAAACGACTATTAATGGGCTCAAGCCCACCACAAGGCGTCTTGGACCCAAGCCCACTCAAGAAGGCCCAAACTCTATACAAGGAGGCCAAACCATCCAAGCTAATGACTCTCTTCCCTTCCCACACTCTCACTCTAAACTCTCTCTACAGTCAGATACACCATTCTCTTTTTTTCTGTCTCAAGTTTACACTTCTCGTATTTATATTTAATATTAATTCTGTTCTTGGCATGCATATGCATCTATTGATGTTCTTCTCTTATAAGTTAATATTACTATTACTAGTTGTTAGGCCCTAGAAAGTCCTCGGGGGCTAACATAGTAATTATAAGGCTCTGATGTGGAATTACTCGTTCGATCTCTTTGGGAGGCAAGGAATCTGTGAGAAGGAGAGGAGGCTTTCGAGATCTACGCTCCGATGCATAAATTAGTACAATATAAGAGAATGGTGTATCTGACTGTAGAGAGAGTTTAGAGTGAGAGTGTGGGAAGGGAAGAGAGTCATTAGCTTGGATGGTTTGGCCAGGATCCGATGGATTTTCTGCAGGGTTCTTTCAGGCGCACTGGGACATCATTGGCCGAGACATTAGTGCGGCGGTCTTATCCTTTTTTGCTTCAGGAAGGTTACTGCAGAGTTTTAATCACACCTGCATTACACTCTTACCAAAGGTGCCAAATGCGGACACAATGCGTCAACTTCGGCCAATTAGTTTATGTCAGGTTTTCTACAAAATCATTGCTAAAATACTTGCTGCCAGGCTTAGTGCGATTTTACCTAGCTTAGTCAGTTTGAATCAGAATGGTTTTGTGAGGGGTCGTTGTATAACTGACAATATTTTGATTGGCCAAGAGGTTATGCATTTTCTAAAAACAAAGGTGCAGGGTCAGGAGAAGTGGATGGCATTAAAACTTGACATGGAGAAGGCATACGATCGTGTCGAGTGGGCTTTTCTTCTCTCGATTTTGCAGGAATTTGGGTTCTGCCAGACCTGGCTCAGGTGGATAAATACCTGTATTTCGACTGTGAGCTTCTCGGTCAACATCAATGGGGGAACGCATGGGTATTTTAAACCCGAACGTGGAATCCGTCAAGGTGACCCCCTCTCTCCTTTGCTGTTTGCTTTATATACTGAGGCCTTTTCAGCCAAAATCGGCCAGGAGCTCAATTCTAATTGTCTCCATGGGTTGAGGATTCATCGTAGGGCCCCGGTCACTTCCCTGCTAATGTTTGCCGATGATACATTCTTGTTTCTGCGTGCTTCGATCCCTGAATGTGCTCATCTTTTACATGTGGTTGAAGAATATGGTTTTGTTAGTGGTCAACGGATTAACTTGCAGAAATCTACTATTTGCACTAGTGCTAATGTGAGTGACCAGGAAAAAGCAAGTTTGGCAGCCTTCCTTGGAGTGTCGGTGGCGAGCTTGCAGGACAAGTACTTGGGCCTCCCGGTACAGATTCAACGATCGAAGACCAGGACGTTCCAATTTTTGGAGGATGGATTGGCTGCCCGCATTCGGTCTTGGAAAATGAAGGCGATGTCGCTGGCTGCCAAAGAGGTAGTGATCAAATCAGTGGGCTCTGCGTCTACAATCTACGCCATGTCAGCGTTCCGTATACCGGCTACGTCTTGTCGCAGGATGAATAGTCAACTGGCACGGTTCTGGTGGGCTGACCAAGATAAAGAAAAGGGCATGCATTGGCTTGCTTGGCCTGAAGTCTGTCATAGTAAATTTGAGGGGGGGCTTGGATTTCGAGATTTTAATCGATTTAACATCGCTCTCTTGGCCAAACAGGCGTGGAGACTGCTGCAATTTCCTGATTCGACGATTGCAACGCTCTACAAAGCTAGATATCATCCCTCTTCGACGATTCTTGCTGCGCAGGAGGGCTCGCGTGCATCGTGGGCATGGCAGGGACTGCTTGAGGGCCGAGACTTGTTGGCTCGTGGTCTACGTTGGAGGATCGGGAATGGGGCAGCAGTGCACATACTTTCAGATAAGTGGCTTCCCTCTTCTCCTCCGTCCTCTCCTGTCTTATTGCCTAATGTCTCTCTCTCATTCTCTTTTGTCTCTGAGCTAATCTGCCCCCTGTCCCATAGTTGGAAAATTGACATTTTGCATGGTTTATTCACACAAGAATCTGTTGCCTTGATATTGTCTATTCCATTACCTGTGCATAGTATTCCGGATAAGTTGGTGTGGCATTATTCGTCGACAGGTGAATACACGGTCAAGACGGGGTATCAACTCTTGTCGACAGAGTTGAACAGGTTGCATCCACCGCGGGACAGCCCTTATGAGAAGAGATTCTGGAAATTTCTTTGGAATCTGCCTCTACCGCCGAAATTGCGTGTGTTTTGTTGGAGGATCGCCAGGGGATTTTTGCCGGTGTATGAAGTGCTTCAGTTCAAGAGGTTAGTGGATGATAGTACGTGTCCCGTCTGTTCTGCTGGCAGTGAAAGCATTATGCATTCTTTCTTTCACTGCCGGGTTGCAGTAGAACTGTGGGAGCTTGCGGAATTGGGCATGTTGCGAACCAGGTTATCATCTTTACCCCACGCTGAGTGTTGGCGGGTCCTCTTCTTTGATTGTCGTATTAACAAAAATGAGGTTGCTAATGTTATTTTCCTATGTTGGCGAGTTTGGAAATCGAGGTGTTGGGCGGTCCATAAACGAATTCAATACTTGGGACCAGCACTTCTTCGGCAATTTCGGGCTCAGGTGGAGGAATGGCGGGCTGCCACTGAGCCTCTTGCCTTGCACCAGGGAAACCATAATCACACTCACCAGGGGCGGCAAGTTAATCCACGTGGACAATCCGACCGCGACGGGGAGTGCCATCCGGGTGGGGTACTAGTCCGGGTGGATGGAGCTTGGAGACAAGGCGCAGGGGGGGGTATTGGCTTTGTGGGCTTTTCGATGACAGGTGCCGTGCTATTCGCGCTTGGCAAACACTATCCAGGTATAGATGATCCTTTCCTCATGGAACTGTTAGCACTTCGGGATGCAATTAACTGGTGTCTAATGCATGGTTTCCTGGTTGTGAATTTCTGCGGGGACTGCCAAACATTGGTACGAGCGGTCAAGGAAAGGGATGTGGCGCATGGTCGAGGCGGTGCGCTTTTGGAGGAGATACGAGTGGCGGTTTCTTCCTTCTCCATGTTTTCGTGTACATTTACTCCTCGCAGGTTTAACAGGGCTGCCCATTTAGTGGCACAACAGGCCCTTTTATCGGCAGTTCGACTACTTGTCGACTGGCGCGTTTGGTTGTGTGATGTTCTCTGACTATTTATTTCCATCTATCTATGGCAAAAAAAAAAAAAAAAAAAAAAAAAAAAGCGAATGAACCCAGATCCAGTCCCAACTTCCTCCTCAGTACAGAGTTCCTCATCATCAACACAAGAATATGATGATTGACGTCGTCCTCACTCGATCTTCCTATCCGACTCTGTACGCCTGCAAACCCAAATGAATAACTTTCCAAAACTTTTCCCACCTTAGAATATTGTTTACATCGTCCCCAATGGCAATACCCCACCCGAGATTATATGGACATTCCTTTTCCTTTCAACTCAGTAGTAGATTATAAATATAAAAAGTCTAGTGCTTCTTCATCAATTACAGCAAACCAGCTTCAAACAGATTTCTACGGCGCAATGTCTCGTCCACCAGCTTGAATGTTTTCTTCACAAGCTTCTGATCCAAGGCAGTTGTTCTATATATTTTGAACACCCGATCCACCCGATCTGGGCTTGTGCTTTGGAAATACAGTTCCTCGAACTTCTTCTTCACAAACCTTAATGACAAAATTATGTTACAACTCAACCAGTTAATGATACCCATATATCATTCAACAACAGATTATAACTGGAACCTACAGCACTGAGGTACTGAAATACGTACTCGTATGCATGCTCAACCTCTTGCTTTCCCGATGATACCGGCTGGTAATCCTTGAACCACTCGCATACATTTAGCGGGACCTGTTCAATTTGGCAAACCACAGCACACCCAGTTGGCAATCTGAAATGATGTTCCCCCCGTATTGTTAAATTAAGAGAAACTACATGGGACATGGAACATACATTTGCAACCTTCTTCTCAAAAAGATCGAACTTGTTCAGGAACAACATGAAGGATGTTTTCTGCCCACAACAATCCATGAGTAATATGTAAACAAACTATATGGAGGATGGCCGCCCCAAGAAGCAAACCAACAAGATAGAAAAGTAGAATAATAAACAAAATGAAGATATAAATTGGAGCGGAGCCACAGAGGAAAGAAGAACCTCAAAACACGGCTGCTTGAGGACCCACTCGAATAGTTCCTTGGTATCCATCATACGGTTCTTATGCTCATCTTCAAAGAGTGTCTGATCGTACCTACAACAAATGACATATCATAAGAGTCTTCTTACAACACTAATTTAATGAAAATGAATTAAGTTTGCACTTTCATTGTGAAATTGTTCATCAAAATGTTGAGTTAATATCTGAGAGTTGGGGTTTGGGGATGATACTTTAACTGTTGGACTGGAGTTGCTTCAAAACTAAATCACAACTACCATATAGCTGGTACACAATGGCTGATGTTTAAAGTTCAGACAAATCACAAGAAATAAAAAGGAATAGAAGTCACAAATGTTCTTACTCACTAATGGCGGCACAAAATATCACAGCAGTAACCCCTTCAAATAGATGAATCCACTTTCTCCTCTCATTTCGCTGACCACCAACATCAAAAAGTCTATATACTTCACCACTTTTCTTGTTTTCTCCAACGGGGCTGCAAAAGTGTAGAGAAGCTGTTGTTTCAACTATACAAGCCATCATGCAGACGAGGCAAAGGAGAATGGATAATTTTATCATCTGATACTTAACAAATCTATAGCTGGCCCCATGGCATCAAGCATATCTAAAGTAAAACCTAAAGACTTGGTAAGCACTCATGCTTTGAATACTTTTCCTTTTGTAAACATAGTTTCAAAACTTGTTAGAAGCCCAAGGAGGGTCAAGGATAACCATTCTTTGGAGTGTGGTAACTTCAGGTTACACAATAGACTTTTCATCCAACCCATGCTCAATTAATATACATGCTTTGATATAGGTGGCCAGCAAAATTCAATGCCTAGAAAGTGAATGCACAACACGTCGTTATTAAGTAATTGGTGACAGAACAATCAAATATCCAAACAAATCAAATGAGTAACAGTATATTGTAAAGCATGTTACCAACCTGAATTGTATCTCTACAACACCAGTAGTTCGAACTCTTGCATAGAGAACGTCTTCCTGCAATATGAGATATGCTTAGAAACTGCTGAAGAGGCAAAGGTAATATAAAAACAGAAAAGCAAAAGGAATGAAATATCCAACACTGGATATCAGTAGCAAACTATGGCAATGATAGTGTTGGACAATCCACAAATATCAGTACATTCTGATTCTGTAATACGTATTATCAGCAAATTGATGGGAAGTCATGATCCTTTTGATGGGTTAAAGCCACATGCTATGATACCACGAGGAATAATACATCCAATATTGATACCTTAGTTGGCAAGTAATTTGCATCAGACAATCTCTGCAAATTTTCCATGAAATAATGAGCACAGTCGGGAACTTGAAGCTCATTACCCCTGGAATAAGTTTCCTACAGACAGAAGGTTCACGAATTATGGAATTAAAGCAACTGAGGACTCTTTAGCCAACAGATCGCATATATAACAGGAAATAATTTTACATGAGAAACTACCTGAATTGCAGGATCGTTCCATAGAGATCCAATCTCCTCTGCAAGCTCCTTAGTAAGCTGAGGATAATTTAACCTTCCTCCGATTTCTGATAACCTCTCTCCAACATCCTGGTAGATTAAAGCCATCACTATACTACTAGTAGTGCCCTTAACATGCCTATGTTGACACAATCAAACGCTTCCTATGCACTTAAAAGAGTTGACAGAAAATCTTCATAGCATGCATTCAGCAAGTTATAATGACGAACATAAACCTTATTTGCACTGGATATAATATACTTTGAGGACTCAGCTTCATTTTGGGCCAACTCCTTGGAACCATCGTGCAATATCTGTAAGAAACACAAACGTTGATGTCCTTTAAATACTCATTTGAAACTGTACTCCTTTACCATTAATGGCTGACTACATCTGTTCTCTACATTGATCGTAAAGGGAAATAAACCAACAAACCCTTTCACATAATCATACTTTTATTGTCTGGTATACATTGGCATGTACAATTGAGGTATAGCTCTTTAGCTCTGCTTCACCAAAACCACTTTGAAACAAAAGCTTTATCTGCACCATATAGCATAATAAAACAAATGAGAAAATAGAAATATCAAATAAACCAACTGAATGATAAACAATGGGCTAATAAATATCTTACCTGCTTAAATATTGTGGACTTTCCAGAGTCTCCAGTACCTATAGCAAACAGTTGAACAAGTCAATTCAGTAGGATCAGAAAGAAGGAAGGGGGAGGGGAGGGGTTCAATAATTAAAACAACATACATGAAACAGAAAAAATAAATAAACTTTGCATTTAAATTATTATTGAAAAAATGAACACACGTCGGCAAAAGAAAACGGCTGAAGATGACATACTTTCTTTCCTGAATTAAGAAAAACATGCCATTAATAGTAAGGAGAAGACCTAATTTGGTATTGTTCTTTGCTTCAAAACTCCAGGAGAAACAAGAACTCAGTAGTTTTTTTTTTAATATAAAGAGACGAACTTATTTGAAAAAATTCGAAGAGCCAATTAACATGACAGATATTCTTAAAAAAGGAACACTATGGATCCATGCCAAAATTAGAAAGGACCTAAAGTGCAAACCATGAACGGACAAGAACTCAGTAGGTTTTTTTTAATAGAAAGAGACGAACTTATTTGAAAAAATTCGAAGAGAGCCAATTAACATGACATATATTCTTAAAAAAGGAACACTATGGATACATGCCAAAATTAGAAAGGACCTTGTTGCAAACCATGAACGGACAAGCCACACAAACCAGTTGCATCATCCTCCATAATTCAGAAAGAAATCTGTAGCCTCCTAGAGACCTCCTGACTATTTACCACGTTCTTTACATAAACCAAGTACTTAGCATAACTAGCGTATACGTCCAGCAGCACATACCAAGCAATAGCAGTTTCTGAATATGCTTTTCTGCTTTTGTTTCTTGCTCAATTCGTCTCTCAATCTCTGCAGCCTAAAAATGACATAGCTAACTGTTAAGTTGAAGCATTGAGCTTACCTCAATAATGAGATCATAGATACAGTAGAAGGCACAAGAATATAAATTCCACGGACTACATACCTGTCCATTCTCCTCATTCTCTGGTTTATCGAAATGACGTTGTTTGCTGCATAACGACCCCATATTTTACTTCCTAATACACAGAACAGGAAGCACACTTATAATGATCCACAGACCGCAAAACAACTGTTCATTTCCCCCGTGAGAAGTTGCTTATAAATTTTGCTGGAGGCAACAACCCTGGAATGCCAACAAAAATAACACACCCGCACTCGCTTAAAAAAGCTATGTTGAAGATGAACTCCAAATCATAAGAAATCAAAGTGGACATGTGGGAGCATTCTCATAAAGGAGAGAAATATTTGATACGAAAAATCTTTCTCAATTAGACATACACATGCAAGTACTGGGATAAAAATAGGACCTTCGATTGACCATGGGGCGTATTCTAAAAACTAAATTTGAAGCAAGAACAAGGAATTCTCATTTCCTTCAGAGAACTCATATACTCTTTGGATTACATGAACCAGTAGAGGCCAAAGAAGGTTAGAAACTTCTCCCATACATACAAAAACAGCTTAATTCACACTAACTTCTGAATGCTAAACAATTAACCTACAATTTTTCCATTGTCTACCACAGTTGGATAGAGATTGTAGTCCTTTTACAAAGGGATTCAGATGAAGTAAGAAAAAAACAACAAGGATGCCTACAAATTTCCTATAGCTGATCCTTGTCCCACCCAGCCTAAACAGAAATGATGTAAAAGAAAGAAAATGGCCAAAAGGTGCTAAAGTTAGTCTCCAAGGGAAATGAGTTGTCACCATGTTATCGTCAGACACCAATGAACACAGGATTTGTAACTGCATATGCAGTCAAATGAAGGAAAAGCATGAATAGCATTGTAATATTGAATTTGAGCGCCAGTTGAAAAGAGCACCAACTAAGGAGGCCAATAGCAATGAGGTTGTGATCCCCAAGAACAAACTGATTTCAAACCACATCAAGAAGGTACAGAATAGTCCAGCTGCACCGATGAGAGATGTGAAATTTAGAGAAGAGAGACCCAGGTCAAACTAGTCAAAGTGGAAAGCAAAGATAAATGGTCAACTTGGGTCCAATCCGGTCAATTGCCACCAAAAGTGGAGGCGAGATTAGTCAAATTGGGAGTGAACCAGGATGTCATGGGGTACAATGATCAACTATGGTCCGATGACCTACACTACATTGAAGTCTAACTAACCAATTTGGTCAAAATCAGTCAAACCCCAGTTAGAAGGAGTGTTAATGATCACTTGTAAATTGATGTAGTTGAAATGATCCATAAGAAACCATTCATTTCAAGAATCAACTAGAAAGTAAATATTAGGGAAGCAGAAGCACATAAGAATACACCTAAACACTCCATCATTCTCTCCCAACCTCTAACCAAATATGTACCACCTGATAGGCCTATTCAAATCTAGTGGTAAACAAGTGTTAGAAATGTATGGGTCCTAGATCTAGAACTTGGGATAAATAAAAAGAGTTAAAATGACATTAGAGGAAGCAATCCTGGTGAAGATGCCCAAGCTGAAAGAGAACACTACTGTAAATACTATAATTGAAGCAAGATAGGAAATAGTTAAAATGCAATGGGAAGTTAAGGAAAGCTGCTTGCACAAAAATGGATTTGAATGCGTAGGTACATGATCATCCTATAATAATTGCAATAGATGGGCTGTAGTGGCAAGTCATTCACCTTAAAGGCAATAGAAGCAAAAAGCAACAGGATTTATAATTAGCACATCTCTAGTAAATTAGTAAAACAGAGCAATGTTTTCGACATTAACGATATCTAGTCGCTGTTTGAACTTTCATGCTCCTCAAAATGGCAGTGCCACATAAACCCGATCAATCAAGCACTAGCCAGGAAGTTATCATTTCGAAAGGGAACTACAAAACCTCCAAACCATACTTAGAATCCAATTGTTACTCAAACAGGGAACCAACCTTGTTCCGCAGCTGCAGAACCTAGAAACAATCCATTTCAGATTAAGCAAAGAGTGTAGTGCCGCACCCTATTTCAAGAAAAAAACCATGCAATAAGCTGACCTAGCCTGGAATAACTCGCCTACATCAAAACCAAAAGCCTTGTATCAAGATTCAATCCAAGTTAATAGACAAGTTCACCTTCCAAACCAAGCAACATTTCCCACCAGGTAATTTAGCTCACTCAAATTCAACCAAGAGACGAAGTTAAAAGAAAAATCCAACCAGATTCCAGTGTGGAACTAATAAAAGAGGAAGTCCCCCCACCCCACCCCCAATACACCAAACGACAACATCAACTACTACAAAAGAGATCCAAGATAAGATTTGCGTCTAACAATCTCACTGAGCAACGTATCACAAGCTTCCTCGTGTTAGTTCATTCGGTCTGAAATCGTTTCCCTATTCCACCAACACCATAAAAGTAGCTTCAAACCGATTACTACCTCTGTGAATTGGACTTTCAAGGAGATGAAATACACAGATGGCACTCCAGCAGCGAGAATCGATGACCGGAGATAGCACGACAAAACCGGTGGATTCGTCGCTTTTCAGCTTTGCTTTTCAATCGATGACCTCCCCTGACTCAGTCACCAGCAGAGCGCACGCCTCTTTCGGGCGATAATGGCGCAATGAACAACGGCAACGGAAACGCGACCCGATGCTACCTTTTCATTCCTCTAGCCTGGTCAGCAAACCACGGCGAAATGGCCGTGGCAGCAGTAACAGTAGCAAATTGATGGCGAAAATAGCTGGCGTATGTGTATCCTGACCCGGGATGGCGACGGCGGACAACTAGACTCGGTGGAGGACGGCGGCGACAGGCGTTTCTCCCCTTTGCAGTTCTTCTTCCCCACCAAAAATCAGCACCCTTCCTCTCTCTCCGGTTTTTGCCTTTAAAAGACAGCTACGTTCTCGTCACTTTTCTTCTCTCGTTTTTCTTCTTCAACCATTCCACTCTTTTTTCTTTTTCTGGCCGAAAGAAACGGTAAAAGGCTATGTCGTTTCGGGACCTTTTCCTATGCCGTTTTGCCGAACGGTTTCGTGAGGAAAAAGAAAATTACACAAGGACGAGGAGAAATGAGAATAAAGAAAATCTAGGGGGCCCGAAATTTTAGCCTAGGATGTGGAAAATAATTCGGAGGACCCACCGCCTCTGATCGCTTCGCCGTGCCTTTCCCGCTTGCCGTCGCCTCCGGAATCGCTGCGCCATCCAACTACCGGCATTCCTTCTCGTTTCTTCATGTAGAGACAAAAATCCGAGAAAGGTCGGCGGAAAAGGAAATAAAGAAACATCCACCACCATCCTTGTCACGTTGTTGTCGCCTGTCGCCACCGGCTGCGGAAGGAAATCGACGAGCAGATCGATAGACTAAGATTGACGAGGCAGAAATCTCTCCTCTGCAGGGCAACGCTCGTGGTCCTGCTGCAATCGTCAGCTCCACCATTTCCGAATCGCTGTTGCATTCTTTGATGGGAAGAGAGAGACGGAAACCTTAAAGAAGCAGTCTTCAACTTGGACCTGCCCATTCCCCTGTTCTTGATTATCAATCTGAACCCCAGGTATAGCTTCTTGCTTCTGCTATTCGTTGATAGGAGCAAGCATGCATGTTTGTAAGGACTCTTGCGGGTTGGATGTGTTTGTTTAATCATTTTCACTTGTGCATGGAAGATTGCTTGCTGATTCACCCTTGTGGAACGTGGTATTTTTTTTGGTTGGAAGAACTAAACTGCTTTTTTTTTTTTTTTTGGAAAAGCAAAGAACTCAACTGCTCATCCCCTTGTAATTGATCATTGTAAATTTATATTGAAATGTATCGTTCCTTATATGATTGGTGATTGTTCGTCTGACTTGAGCAAGATCCCTTTTGTCATTGTCGTGATAGAACGGAAGATTGTCTTGATCTTCTCATTTTTTAGTGAACGGTAACCATGAACTTCGGAATAAATGTCCTTGAATATGGTTTTGAAAGTGCTCTTGAATGACCTGGTTCGAAATGAGTTCGTAATAGAATAACTTTCTTGCTAGTTCGTGATTTGTTTCTTCTGAGGAAAACACTCTCGAGTTGAACAGAGGACAGAAACATGTGAACTCATTGTTATACTCCTTCACCAATAACTATTGCAACAATCTAAGAACTTGTTCTTGCTTGGTTCGAAAAGTGATGGTAAAAGAGCTGTTGCGGCTTCAAATTGAGCTTGATTGTTGATTTGAATTGTCAATCTGGTTTGTGACATAGCTCCTTAGGCCAGTTGCGTACTGCAATCAAATCCCAACATGATGAAAACAGGTCCCTCTGTTTAGTTGCGCCTTTAGGTGGCTGAGCTTGTATAGTTTTCTTATAAAAAAGTGCGAGTTTGTAAATAGCTCTAGGCGATTTCCTTGTTGGCTGTTTTCTAATATATTAGCTCTTCTATGTATTTTGTACAACCAAATTGATTGAAATTAATAAACATAGGCACTTTATTTCTCTCTGCATGCTTGTTGGTATTGAGAGAAAAAACATGTTTTTGGTACGTTTGTATGCTGCCAGAGTCTTTGCTTGCTTAAACAACTGCTGACATATTCATTTCTACCTTTTGGGGATCTCACTATAACAACATGGGATCCTGAAGAATTAAAACAATTTGGAATTAGAGAATGGTTTGTTTTATGAAATTATTTGTTCTTGACTCGTGGATTCTTTCCTTGTCTCTGTTTTCTTCTTGCACTTTGTCCTTCTTGTTAAGTCTGCAACGCTAGGTGAGATAGAGCTTTCAGTTCATTTACATCAATCTTGAAAAGGCCATTCATTTCTGTTTAATGTGATTTGTTCAAAAGCTTGCTGATTGGCCGTAATTTATGCAGGACATTCTGTTTTGGCTGTCAGAGGTTGGCATTTGCAGAATCAAGGTTACAGATCTGGTAAACCTGCTTGATTCCAAAATAGTCATGCGTGATTATTGGTGGTTTCTCCTAGACATGAAAGGAGAGTCTCCATATATCTTACCTGTCGTGCCCCTTCTCTCACATAGTTGCAGCAACCACTTATTTGCTCAATTTAGCTCATTTATGGATAAATTCACGGATCAGTCTCGGTTGTTAGATGGCCCTGGCCGTATTACCGAAGAAGCTTTTCATCGTACTTCAAAGTTAGCAGGTTCTCTACTTCTTTGGTTTACTGGTACATCCAGTTCCTATTTGAACAGGCAAGTATCGAGAATTAAGCATGTTCCAAGCCACAAAAGCTTTCAGGTTTCGGAGCAAGTTAAGCACGCCACTCCGATGGAATTTTATATTGATGGGTTTTGCTCTGGTTCTGCCTCAAAAGGAAAACCTTTCTCCTCAGAGGTGTTTAAAAAGATCTCTGGTATTTTGACAAGGCTATTGTCTAGAGAAGCTGACAGGAACCAGTCATTACCTGTGCTATCATTAGCTAGCGCCTTCATTCCACCATTTAAGAATTCGTGAGTCAACTTGAAGCTTCCATTCACTGCTAATTCGCTCTCCTTTTGCATAAAGTTGATATATGCATTCCCTTACCATCAGAAGGTGGTAGTTTGGTTTTTATAATATGACACCTGTGTCATTGTCAGATCTCCTGAATTATTAGGTGGGAACCCTGATAATAAAGCAGTTAGAGTGCGCACTTTCTTTGATCAAAGCCAGCATGACATTGAACCTCGGGGATGTTCAATCTGTTCATGTCCTGACATAAACTGGGAAAATCATGCCATTGAGCCAAGAACTGGCATTGAGTTCCCAATAGTACTTAATAGTTCAACCCAGGAGAAGAAATCTAATCTATCTCCGGAGGTAATATATGTGGAATGTCTTGTATAGTGTTCTAAGTGCCTGGTCTGGATGCTTCCATTTTTCATTCATGTTTATTTCCAACAATGCTTGTTTGTTGTGGTTGCACTGATTGCTTTGCCACATCAACTACCATTTTGATAAATTCAAATGAATATATTTGCACCTCTATTAGCATCACGAGGTATCTCTACTGCTTGATGTGTTGTTTATCTGTCTTATTGCGTCATTTGGGGGCTTCTACTTGTTGGTACAGGATAGAAATCAGCCAAAATATTTTAGTTTATTTATTCTCTTGTATGGGACTCCCTTCCTATCAACATACTGACACCATGATAAACCTTTCTGCCACGATTGGTTAATAGGTTCTTTGGTATTTACGATAGCTCAATTTTGCTTCCAAGGTTTCAATCTCCAGTGAGTTGGATGTTTTTATCATCTCATTACTGCTAGAATAAACTCTTGAATTGAATTTTTCAGTATTTTGGTGCTTTTCTCTGTTAATCTTCCTGTGCTTCTATATTTACAATTTTACCTCTCCTTTTCCTACCTGACATGTTTGTTAGGAAGATAGATTCCAGAGATGTTTATATACTGTTTGTTTTCCTCTGGTAATATGAACCATTTCAGCAATGTTGTTGACTTTTCCTCACAAACTACATTAGTTGTGAGGGAATAGCTCTGAATTTTATATAGTTTCTGCGCTTTATATGGTTGTAGTTCAATTTTCTAAACCACTTTTGCCTTCTTAATCTCAATTATTATACATGGCACTCTTCTAGTTTGAGAGAACTTTAGTTTCTTTCGACTACTCAAACTATAAACTGCTTCATCATGCTTTCAGATCCTTGTTGGAACTGGTTCAAGAACCATGAAAATAATCAAAATAAAGTCTCTTAAAGTCTACGCATTTGGTTTCTGTAAGTCCTTGATACATTTTGCTGACTAGTACATGCACACTTGATTGCTTGTTCAATTCTGGGATCATTAGTTGTCTTTTTATATTTTATTATTTCTCTGACAGATGTCCATCCTAACTCGCTCTGTGAGAAGTTGGGTTGGAAATATGCTTCCAATCAAGTATGTGAAGTAGGCAAGAAGCATGACTTCTACCAGGACCTTCTCAGGTATCTAGCAACTTAACCTCATGGTTGAGTTTTCTTTTCCTCCAAATTTTACATATTTTCTTGGACTTCATTTTTGTTAGATAAATATTCATCTAAGGGTAACTTTGGGATGTCAGTGGTGATGATGCAGCTCCTAACTTTTCAATCTCATGAAAACACCCAAATCACCTAGTATTTAAACCTTGGGCCGACATATATTTTATATTTATATATATTCTCAATTTCCTAGCTAGGCTATGAAGCTATATAAGAAGCTTGCGAGGATGTTCTGAAACGCCTTTACTATTGTTACCTTGTGAGTCAATTGCTTTTAAATTCCTTCCCAAGTGACTTGGCTAAGATGAGAAATCGCTTTAGAAAGTTCTCTCCCGGCCTTTGTTCTCTCCTGTTTTTCCCATCAGAAACAGAAATTAAATGAATTTTGTAACTACTTTCTTTTATTGGCATGGTTGGGCACTTTGGTTGGTAGATCAGACTGCATAACCAAAATGTTTGTTTAATGTAAACAAATTTGAATTTTTTACGAGTACAATGTATTAAATTTATAAAACTGTTTCCTAACATTTTATGAGTTGTACAGGGAGGATATTGGCATGACTGTTCGTCTTGTGATAAACTGCAATGGAATGAAAATCAATACCGTGAGAGAGTACGTGATTTCTAATTTTGATTTGTGCCTTCTTAAATAAATATTATGATTCTATTATTTGTCTTGCCAGTATTTTAGGATGGGGTTGGATCTTAGCATAAGTGTGTATGCAGTAATGTATCAATGAACTTCAATTGAATTGAACAAAACAAAATGGGTTTTGCTACAACACATTTGTCCTCTATTGTTGGTAATGATTTAAAGTAGCTACCTGTACAGGTCATTATTTCCTTATGAGTTTAAATCGTTTAGTGATTCCTTAAACATGAATAAAGAACAAGATTCATTGAGTATCAGAGTACTTTCTACAAGAACTCATGGAAAAGACATGTTTCTGTTTTTTTTTTTTTTTTTTATGGGAGGACATGTTTCTGTTTGATTCAAGATGTATGGTGGTTATTCATGTTTCTGTTTGCTTTTAGCTGTATGTTAGTTAGATCCAGATGAGTTCAGATTAGTAGGCATTTGCTCTGATGGATGCTTCATTGTAGCAACTATTTTGAAAGAAATCTGGCGGACTTCTCACTTGTTAAAAGCATGGACCTTTATGTTTACATGATTGCAGTGCTTTTCAAAAATCACTTCGAGCTCGACTACTGAAGGTATGCCATCAAATCATATTCCTGAAGCTGTAAAATTTCAATATTGCATTCTACTTCATTCTCAAGTTTACAAAGAGAGAGGAACAGATTGAGTAGCATACAATCTGTGACATTCTAATTGATTCTTTTTTTTTTTTTTTTTCTTTTTGGCTTAGCAGACAAACCCCAGCACTGATTACAGTTGCCTGGAAGCATTTGGCTCATTGTTTACAAAAGATATTCCATTGCCCGCAGTAATTTCCCACTTGGCAATCGGCTTTGCTGCTGTTGAAATTAAACTGTTTTACTATCTTGAGGGTTTTATTGAGACTACCGTCTCAACTGATTTGTTCTGCAGGGAACCACTGTTGATTTTAGGCGCACAGCTGATGGCCATCTAATAACTGAAAGTAAGAAATAGTTGGTCTTTAGGTTGCATCCATTCACGTTTGAGAAAGTGAGCTTCTGTAGGTTCATCCTTGAAATCTAAAGCTTGCATGTACCTGCTCTGCCCTCTGTCGCTGATTATTGGTTTCTCACTCAAATTACTTAATGTCAGTAATGATGAGTCATAGTGGTATATGTGCCTCCAGTTATGTCTGAGTGTAGAGCTCGTTCTTTTTCATGTAGTTGAAGGAAATCATATTGGAGCAATCCGGAGCAAGGAACTATGCAGTAAGTTGTCCTCTCTGATGAATGCTAACCATATGTGGTGTAGGTGTCTGCTGGGGGTTTGGAATGGCAGTGTTGCTGGGAATTCGCTTTGCGTAAACTGAACATATGTTTTGATTTATGCAGGGGCTTTCTTTGACATGTATCTAGGGGATATTCCAGTTTCGGAGCAAACAAAGGAAGATATTGGCAAAAATGTGGCGAGTATCATTAGGAAATGCTAAGCCATCACAACTCCGTTGTCTCGATTTTTGAAGGAGACATTTGGCGGGCTAATGGAATGAATAAACATCTTTGCTTAGCAGAAAGTGTGAATTCAGGAATAGTGCTGTGGTATTGAGCTAGTGGGCACAACGTAGAGTAGAGGTACTGGTTTATGTGAGAGTCATTAGAGATTGAATGCACGTCGTTTCCAGATGCCTAGCTGGAGCTTCATCTGCTGCTTAGGCGAGTTCCTTTGATCAACAAGGGGAAGGAGGATCCATCCTCGATTAAGGGTGGTTCCGGTAAAGTCTTGCAGATTATACTCTACCGTTGGTTACCGACACAACAAATGGCATAAAACGTGCAAATATTGTCCATGTTTCAAGGTGGATCGCTTGTCCATATTTATTATCTAGCACAGTACGAAGAGTTATTTGGTCCCTTTGTTACCGATACAACCAATGGCTTAAAATCTTACTCCGATCCTGTGCTTGAGTATATGAGACATTATTTTTCTATCAAGGGAGTAATTAGTTTTTTTTCGTAGTCATCCAATAATGTTCAAAGGCAAAAGTCAAAGAGTTAACACCACCAAAGTTGGTAGTTGACCAATAGAAATGGTTATTTAGCCATAAGGACAGTCTTATTTAAGCAACAACGAGTATATATATAAAAGAATGCATAAAGTCTCCAAATATCCTTTAGATTCACATTATTGAGATCCCAAGCCACATCTCCATTGACCACTCATCGAACCAACCGCAGTGACATAACGAGCCCCCAATTAAAAATTCCACAAAACAAATCATCAAAACCATGAATTATGCAGTAGCGTATGAAACTATAAAGTTTTTAAAAAATTGAGCACAAAAATGTAATACAATGATAGAAACACGTTTTATTTATCAGGTTTATTCTAGTCTTTAGCTATGTATATATATAAAAGGAGACCCTCTATCTCCTTTTTTTTCATCTTTATATCTAATGCTCTCATATTTCTGATTCAAAAGGATTGGTGGATTGAATTCATGATTTCAAGTGAAATATAAACATTTGACAGATATGTAAATATAAAGATTGTAGGTACGAAAATCTCATAAAATTTAGATACCAAAACATAATTGTTCAATGATTTTACACTAAAATTAAATTTAGGATATCAAAATGTAAAATGTACATTATAGTGACTAAGTTGTAATTTAATAAAATTTGAGGTATCAAAATAATATATATTTTAGGCACCTTTATATATATATATATGGTGGCGTCTTCGGTGCATTCAGTGCACTCGCTTCATAATCGTCATTTTAAACATGGGATTTATGTGAAAATGATGTCAATCATCACTTATGATGTGATGAACAATAACGCACATGAATTTGCACAAAAACCATTAAAGATTTACTTTAATTTGAAAGATTTAGAGTTTAGAGATTTAGGGTTAGGGTTAGGGTTTACAATTTGGGGTTTAGGGATAGAACTCAAAATTGGAGGTCTAGGGCCTAGGGTAATCCGCTAATTAGTTGTTATCATATGTTAATTCAAAATCCGACACCTTAAGACTAGTTTTTGAGTTGGGTGCATTGAAGTGTGGGGAGTTCTACGTTACCCAGGGTGAAATTCGGGGTACCGCATACCTTGAGTAAGAAAACGATATCCAGAACCTGAATTGACTGATCTTTCGGACATGATACTATAATCTAACCCTTAAAGATCAAAATCTAGGTCTTAATTCTCTGAATCTTATTCGACAAGATCAATTTAATTAGAAACAATAATCGACGGTTATGATTCGTCCAAATATAGGGGGAAAAAAAATCAATACACCATCTTAGGGTTCATATTTAGATTTAGATAATTAGGACCTAGGGTTCACTCATTAAGGGTTAGGGTATAGTATCATGCCCAAAAATCCTGCTAATTTGAATTCTAGATAGCGTTTACATACTTAGGGTATGCGGTGCCCCGGATTTCACCCGGGATACCGTAGAAGGCACTATATATATGTGTGTGTGTGTGTGTGCGCGTGTGTTTGAAGCACCCAAAAGCATATATAAGGAATTCGAGGAACTATACTTCACTATTATGATGTCTCATTAGGTCTCGTCATTACCATGTCTCATTATCCAAAGAACATACTTGAGATTAACATAAACAAATATTCCCCAACTCCACTCTATTAAAATATGTTTCTAAGATAAAGTGTGGCTGACAAATTGACATTGAAGAATCCTCCAGCAAAGAATTGGGTAGAACAGGAAATTAACTTAATTATAGGTGAAACTGACCGCCACCTAAAGCAATTTTATAGAAGACCTTAAAAGCCATGTACTTCTTTGCACCAAAGTGCCTTCAATTCCAACATATTTAAATCAACCATGAACATTCAAATGAAATGCAGCAGTCTATCGTAGACTTTTATACTAACACTCTTCTAACCATCTGACTCATCTTAAGACCATTATCATGGCTGCCTCTATTGTGAAGTTACAATCACAAAGCATCTTAACCTCTATCACTGCCATTATTTTCCCAATCAACTCCTGCATTGTCATCTTCTTCGCAAAACACAGCGACAGTGTTCTCTATGTACTTAACTAACCACCATGGTCCACAAAAAACTTCCTACATGATGCTTCTCCAACTTCTGCATGGCTTCTTCTAGACCTCACTGCCATCCTTCACCAGAGGAATAATCTCATCTGACACATGAATAACCTACAAAACTTCATGTACATAACAACCGCCATAAAACAAATGATCCCTAGTTTCGTTAACCATCACACACAATTAACACTGCATATCTACCATCGAGTTCCATCTCAGAACCTTATTATCAATTGAAGCACATAACGATGTTGCACGTTGTAGATGAATTCTAAAGCAAAGCAACTGATCGGTTGATACTATCTTAAGGCTATCATGCCATTCTTATTTGGTTGCATCAAAGCAAAATGGGCATTGGAAAAAATAATCAACAATCACTGATTAGACATGGATTGTTTAATGAACACCAAGAACATGCTTCAACAAACAAACCACATCACACAAAGAACACTCACATGTCTTGTAAATCAAAATTTAAACACTATCTCCAAACCATGAACCTTTCCATTGCAACTTAGTTATGTGTAATAAAAAAACACTCACATGTCTTGTAAATCAAAATTTAAGTATTGCCTACAACCATGAACTTTGAAAGGAAACAGGGAGCTTAATCACATATCTCCCTTTGTGCGATTATCAAACATCCAATTAGGGACAAAAGACCATACAACCACATCTCCTAAATATAAAACGAGGTGCTCAAAACATCTTATCCAAATTATGAATCAAGAAGAAAAAAACAAGCAAGATTCATAAAGCAGACTTGTATAAGCAAAGTAGGGACAGTATATATTTAATCATGTCTAATTTGATGATGTGTTTTAGTGTTCCAGTCAATAACAGTAAAGTAAGCTCATTGAATTCATGTGGTGAAACCGACCAATTACATCTTGTTCAACCTTAAAGAAACATGTCATTCAAATACAAATAGCAAATGCAAGGTGGATGACCAGCCAATTCTATTAATTTTTTTTATAATGGACCAGTTCTATTAATTTAAAAGGTAAGTCCTAGTTACTCACTCGTTATTTATACATGATTTGGCCAGAAATGTAAAGAATCTCAAAACTCTAAAATAAAGGTAATAGCGGTCATAAAGGTATATTGCATGACTATTGGATGGATAAACCGCTTTCTAACCACTAAAAGCTCTACAAAGTAAAGGCCAGATAATTAAATAAACCATAGATAATTTCAGTGGTAGAAGAACCCCAAGTACCTGTTCAACCATATAAATACAAAATTTCATTCAAACTTGACTAACCTTGAGATCAATTCGGCAATACCAAGCCATACTCCTAAAGTCAATCAAACCCATCTGTTTCCATGACTACTAAGAGTCTAAGAGGAATGGTGAAACCAAATTGAATAACAAACCAAACGAAAACTCAATTAAAAATAAGTACTCGTCAAATGAAAGAAAGAAGATTAAAAGAAAGTAAGTAAAGAGAACTTACCGTTCATATAATGTTAGAGATCTCTGCTTTCTTCTTATACTTCATCGACTATGAGAAAGAGGCAGGAAGAAAAAATTCCGGTGGGAATAAAAAAAGCTCAAAGAAAAATATTTTTTCCTTATCGATGGCTCCCAAATGACAGGCCCTGCAATATGCTCCACCCCCCGCAAATCTCCTCAGCAATGCCATCATAGAATCCAGAAAAGCGCGCTAACACTCTAGTATTTGACACTTGTCATCTCTGCATATATTACCAGTCTCGTCGTTGCTATCGATCTGCCATCGTCGTCGATCTCGTTGATGGCAGTAATATTCAGGTCATCACAACGCCTCACTGCCATCTCCATCGCCGACATTATTGTTGTGCTCTCACCAACCCACTCTGTTCGATATCGCTGACACTGCACCACTAAACCACCTCCAACACCTAGCCATCATCTTCGTCACCGCCAGGACCCCCTACAGACCTGTAGGTAATCTTCCTCCTCTCTTCCTATTAAAGAGAGAAGTGGGTTGTTTTTTCCTTTCTTCTTCAGGTGACAGGGAGGGTTGGGTGAGTGAAAAAGAGAAAGAGAAAGGTGAAAGAGGAGAAGGAGAAAGAGAAAGAGAGGGCTTCGTGTGTGGCTGGGAAGAGGGGAAGAAGGAAAAGCAACAAAAAAAAATACCCCAAAAAATTCATTTACACTCTGTTTCCGAAGGAAAGAAAATGGAGGAAAATGAAAATTTGGAGGTGAAGGAAAAGGAGGAGAGAAAAATGTTGTTTTATGGAGGAAAGTGAAAGAGAAAGTGAGAGGGAAAAGGTATATTGGGAAGTGTGATATATATGTTAGTTTATTAGGTATGTAATAGTAAAATAATTAAAATTATGTGTTGATGTTATTTCTATTACTTATACATAGTGGATAAAAAAAAAATTTACTAATTTTACTCACTATTAAAAATCTCGTTCATTTTAACTTGATCTAAAAAAAAATTCCATAAAAATTGTATTACCTCGGTTGTATAAGATGACATTTATTTAATAAAATTTTTTACACTGTGTTGCCATTTTTTAATGTAACACACTTTTACATCTCACCTAACAGTTTATATATTGCGTACGTTATACATGACATAAAAATTGATTTAAAAATCTTGTTCATTTTAACTTGATTTAAAAAAAATTACATAAAATTGTATTACCTCGGTTGTATAAGATGACATTTATTCAAAAAAAAATTACACTGTGTTTCCATTTTTGAATGTAACACACTTTTACATCTCACCTAACAGTTTTATATATTGCGTACGTTATACATGACATAAATCACTCATTTGGTCCGGTCCAAATATAACACTGATTTAACAATTATAAAATTCACGATCGAATCGCATTATACTCGCTTTGGTGTCATATGGTCCAAAACAATATTTTATGGTAATATTTACTATTTCCATTAATAATTGGTGAATAATTAACAAGGCAAGATAAAGAATGATTTTATGG